AATATAGAATATAGAATATAGAATATAGAATATAGAATATAGAATATAGAATATATAATATAGAATATAGAATACAGACTATATGTAAAACATGTGATTCATATTCCCACAAGGCACACCCTATAATTACCATGTAATATATATGAAAATTAAAATGAGTGTGCATCAACTCTATTGTGGCTAAGCCTATGGATCATCACTTCATCCAGATCATTCTAGGATTACATCGATGAATGCTGCTCAAAATGTTCCAGAACAATGTTAATATCATCGCTTGAGTTTGGTCTGGCTGTAAGTCGAGTCTTTAGTGCTTTGTTTTTCTTTCCACCGTCTGTTTATTACCTTTAGCATGGCCGATTAATGTGATTTGTTGTTGTTGTTTCTGCTGCTGTGGATGTTGTTTGAGACTTTGAAACATTTACGTTTGACGTTGTTCCAACGAAATTGATGATGAGACGATCGTAACCAAGCGGTTTGTCATCACCGAACAACCCCCACAGAGCGGCCCAAACGATCGCCAGTCCCCCAATGCCCTGTTCTCAGTTATTGTCGATGTTGTTGTTGATGTTGTTGTCGTTGCTGTTCGAATGGCACTTGGCACTGGGAATTGTTGCTGTTGTGTGGCTTGGGAGGGGGGCTGTCGCACGTCGTTGTCATGAGAAACGAAAATTGGCTGCCAAATATGCGCAGCACGTTCGCCTCTGACGTCTGCGCCTGCGCCATAGAAGAGTTGCCCGCCCCATCCCTCTCGCACACACACGCATTAAGTGCCTAACTTTACTCCCTGCCTCTCCCACTTAGTCCCTCTCTCTCTCTCCCACTCTCTCTCTCTGTCTCTCGCTATAACAAAATTCCCAAAGACGCAACACGAAAAATTGCCCGCATTGTTATTCGGTTTCAATTTCATTTCCGGTGGCAGGTAACAGGCGGCGCTTACATGCTGCTATACCATCCACACACACACACATGCTTAGCTTAAGGCGAATTCGGATTCTGATTCATTTGCCTGAGCTGAGTTGCTGTTGACTGGCATTCAAATAGCTGCTAACTAAGTACAGTAAAAATGTCGCGTATGTCAGCAGTTCAGTTAAGTTAGTCACACTTCGCAACGCCCCCACTGACCCCGCCCACGCTCTCGACCCAGCCACTGGGCTGACTAAAAGTAAAAGTGACTTCGCCGCCCGATGGTCAACTTTCAAACGGTTCTTGCTCACACAGATGAAAGCTTTCACTGTGTGCTGGTCTTAGCTATGCACTTTCAAATAACTGCATTAGCCAAGCAGTGCAAGAAAAAACAACAACAAGCAGCGGCTAAAAACAATAACAAATAAAGCGCGCTGACGCCAACGCCCCCACAAAGAAGGCAATGTCTGTGCTTACATTTTACAAACGTTGACATGTTATGGACCATAAGATCGAGACGAGTTCGAGTTTTGTTGTTGTTGGCTGACTCGGTCGGGCTTTTGTGCATTTAAAACAAAAAGCGTCGCACGCAACCAGGCAACATTCATTCATGCACGAGCACACGATCTGAGCGCTTAGAACAGCGGCAGAGCGCAAAAGCAGCAGAAGCATTTAACAAAAGCAATAACAACAGGCAACGCAAATCTCAGCAGCAGCAGTAGCAGCAGCAGCGAACACGAATACTACGAACGACTGAGAGAAGAGCGAAGTAAAGACGAAGACGTCGACGAGCGCAGCGGCAGCAACCAAAACAAGCAGCAGCAGCAGCGACGACGTAGACAAAGAGTAGAGCCGAAGCCAAGACGAAGACGACGACGACGACGACGGCGGTACGAAGCATACGAAGCCAAGCGACAGACTTGAGCAAAAAGCTTAGCACTTGGCTGCTGGAGCTTCATTCTCGAGTTGCGGCTCAGCGGCTAAACAACACGAAAAGTGCTTCGAGGTTGAGAACACATAGAAGTGAAGCGCGTGCTTCCAAGCAAGCAGTGCAAGCAGGCCACCGCCATCGTTAAAGCAGTGTTACAGTGCGTGGGCGGCTGTCTTAATTGCAATTTTGCAATAAGACAAAAAAAAAAAAGCAGAAAAAAAGGCAAACAAAGAACTTTACTGAATTAACATAATTCAATAATTTTTATTGAATACGCCATAAATTATTATGCCTTCGGCGGGCTTCGTTTTGGAGCATTTAATTGCGGCACAAACGCGACTGGACAACAAGGCGGCAACTGCAGCGGCCAAGCTACAATCACCAAAAGCAACAAAAGCAACAACAGCAGCAACAACAACAACAGCAACAACTGCAGCCAAGGAGAAGCAATTTTTGTCGGTCCTAAAGAAATTTGTGCAATAAAACGAACCGAGATTTTCATTTGCATATGCAAAATATTTATACTATTTTCTCATACTAGAACAAGAATAATAAGAACAACATTTAAAGTGCATTTGTGTTCATTAATCTGGTGCTTACATAAAACAACAACAGCAAGAACTCTCGCGTTTTTCTCAACGTGCAAAAGTTGATGTATTTGTGTGTGTGTGCGTTTTTTTTTTACTGTACAATATTTTATTTTATTGTTTTTTTTTTTTTGTTTTCTGTTTGTTGGTGCTCGCATTGTTGCGTTTAAACAAGTGTTGTTCGGAATTAATTGTAAATGAAATATTGAATAGACGGCAGCTAGCAACAAAATGCTGTTCAATAAGTGCCTCGAGAAATTGTCCAGTTCGCTGGGACATGTGGTGCATCATAAGCTGCACGAGAAGCAGGTCTACAACAGCAATGACGACAACAACAACAACAACAACAACAGTAATATGTACAACAAACAACGCAACTTTGAGTACGAGAGAGCGATACAGGCGCATTATGGCAATGGAAGGACGCGCAGCAACTCCAAGTCAAAGGCCAGCAAAAGTCACAAGACAAAGGCAACAACAACAACAACAACAATGACAGGAGAAACAACAACAACTGAGTGCAAAAATTGCATGAGCAACGACGAGATGGCCCTGATTATCAGAGGCGTTGCCCACAACAACAACAGCTACAACAACAACAACAACAACAACAAGAACAATCAACACAAATACAACAGAGCAAACAGACGTCGTCCCACCTCAACGGGCGCCTCGTCTAGCTGCTCCTCGACCGAGTCGCTGCCTCAGCTGCAGCTAGCCACGCCGCGTGGCAGCAACAGCAGCGCCAGCAGCAGCGGCAGCAACAGTAGCGATGGCCATGCCTACTACTACTCATCAAATCCCGTAACGCCCACATCCTGGTCCAGTTCACCGCCGAACTTTGCGCCGCACCGCTTTGGCGGCTCCAGCGGCACACTGGCGCTCCTGGCGGTGATGCGCGTCCAACTCTATGGCTACAAGTAAGTGCAGCGATGCGCGGGAGGTGGGGGCGTGCCATGGGGGCGGCGTACGCGCATTAGCAACAATTTATTTTTTAATCATCTTGTTTTTTTTTTTGGAGGCGCGTGTGGGACACAAATTAAATTAGATATTGTTGTTGCCAGCAACAGTAACAACAACAACAACAACAACAATAAATTGTCATGTGTCTAAAATTGCTACGCAAATGAGTAAATATTGAAGTTAAACAACAACAGCAACAACAACAACTAGAGACTGAGTGGGGCTAGTGACATTATAATGGATATGTGACACAACACACATACACACACACACACATGTATATATATATATATGTATATTTGCCATATATGGCTTATGCGTAAACAAACGCCTGCGCGAACGCGTTCACATTTTCATAGATTTTGTTGCTTTCTTGTTGATGTTTATGATTTGAATGGCTTTCAAATATGATTGACAATAAGATTTTCGAGTTTATACATAATCATATACCCTGTAAACAAGTCGAGCTGAGTGCCGAATGAGATGATATCTGAGCGGAGCTTGGGGATCCGTTAATGTTTATCACTGAGCTAATCGAAACTGAGCTGCGTCCGAACATTTGAGTTGAGCTGAGCCTAGCCAAGTCTAAAGTTGTATATCATATAACATCTTGTTGGAGCTCAAACCATCCGGTTATTGATAGTTATTCTTTAAAGATTTGCTTATTGTGTTGTATAAGACAGAAAAAAAATCATATCATATCATAGCAATTCATAAGGATGATCCTACAAATGTGTCCAACACCATATCAATATGCATATAAGAGCTGCAGGATGTTTGTACATATGATATGATTCTCATATACAGCTCAAATCACAGCAGATCCCATATGCCATACGCCCATGTCCATCCCACATATCCCATCACAAACTGATATGATATATACATGCTTCAAGTCTTCTTTAGTCATATGCCAATATAGAATATAGTACAACATCTTCTCAATATCACACACTGATATGTGGCTATATATATGTATACATTCCTAAGGTGGAAGTCTTCTTTTGTCATGATGTCATTTAGAATATAGAACATTATCTTCACATTTGCGGCGAGTGTAAAAAGTTTTCCATGCGCTGAGTAAACACGTTTTGTGAGCGAAGATGAGCAATTAACCTGAACTGGTTCTATCTGGTTCTCTCTTCAGTAGTACCAACTGAGTTTTCCATAATCCTCGATCTGATCATTTTTCCATGCAAATCACAGTCGAATTTGTTGCTCCGGCCCATTTGATTGTCAATCAAGTAGAAGAAACGAACATGACAGAGATCTGTGCACATGCACTTTTACAGGGTATTCCATTCGTCTATGCTAATTCGATTTATGCCCCCTTAGGTTGTCAATCATGATTACTTTGTTTTGAATACAATATATAAAGAAAGATATTATCCGATAATTGTGCCCAACTTTTGCTCCGGCACACTTTTACAGGGTATCTCATTGCGGCTGTACCCGTTGAAGCCTTGTATTTCTATATTTTATTTCTTTTTGCTGTTTGCTCCTCTGATATTTATTGATTTTTGCATTTAGAGACTGCGTGGTGTGACGACGCGACGTTGGGTTCTAATGAAATAATCTATGGCATTTGGCTCAACCGAATTCCGCTCAGTCATAAATAACTACATATATGTATGTATGTATGCATGTCAAGCTGTATACACCTAGGTATATTCCATATAGATCAGATAAGAGCGCATACTGAGAATTTGCAACTGTCGCAGGCCTCGTCTTCCCAGATCTGCCTGTTTACTGGACCCATGCCCATCTCCATACCCATACCCATCCCCATCCCCATCTCCATCTCCATCTTCAGCTTATCTTGGCTCTCTCGCACTGTTTGCCCATCGGCCACATTCAGCGATGCTTTCAGACGTCTCTGTTGGCTCTTGATAAAGAATTTATCATCTGTGGAGGCCACAGCTCGAGTATTTATGGCATTATTAACTTAGATTTTAGATAAGCTGTTGTTATGTGTGTGCCTTTTTTGATTTACTTAAAATATGCCGACATCTTGCACCTGAACAGCTTCAAGTACTTCTCACGTGTTTGGTCTGGGCAAATGAACTATTTGAAATACATTTAACTGAATTCGGAATTTCCAGTTAATTATTAGCTAATCTCATCCAGAGTTTTTACTGCTGGAATTTGCCATGGGCGAACTTATTTTTCTTAATTATTCCATATATACATTATAGATTGTAATTTATTTATATATATGTATAACTGTATATACAGTAAATATTTTAGATATATTTCTTATTATATTTCGTAGCATTATTTCCGTATCTTATCTTATTTTGAACTCTTTTACATCCATAATATAATGAAGCTAAATTTCATGCTGCTGCTTCTTGATCCTCATGTTTTTCTTACCTCCGTGATTACTTTATATCTAGAACTCCCTCTATACTCTCCCAATTATATCTTCAAATGCTGTTAGGGCACTTTGTACATATTCTGGAGTTTACCCAATTCCATTGCCGCTTTTTATGTTAACTCCTTGGTCACTTATCAGTTCCATTTTGCCTAACAGTTTATCTTGACTGTTATGCTACAGCTGTTAGCCTTTGCTCTCTGTTTACCCAGAGCTCACCTCCAAGTTCACTTTAAATATATTTTGGTAATTTATACAATCTCTTGATCCGAGCAAAGTTGATTGCAAAATAATGCCCCATCATCTCTCCAGATACTACTAGATATTGTCGCTTATATTACAAATGAGATAGATAGATAGATTCTAGAGATATTGGAATTTCAGTTGTTGTAATATGTGGAGCCATCTGTAGATAGTTATGTGAAGCCCAATATGTAATCTTGTCTAATATAGGCAGTATTAGGGGTCGACTGCATTCATCATTAGGGTTCAGTTCTTTCCCAGATGTTATGAAATCAAAAGCGCATTATCACCTCCATGGTCGCATTATGGCGCTTCCGTAAATTGTTGGTAATTGACGAGAGAGGGGAGAGCTGGGGTGGGGGTGGGGAGGGGTGAGTTTGGTTCATTTAGCTGTTTACCGTTAGAGTGCTAAGTCTCTATGAACGTTTACCCTAGTGCCAGCAGCGACCCCCATTGCCCCGTCCCCCTCTGCCCTCGTCATTGCACGCCCCTGTCAATTGCCAACTGCATGCTGTACCCTAAGCAAAGCACCCCCTCCCTTCCTCCCTCTCCTCTCCCCCCTCTTCCGTTCAGCCACCTCGCTTGACAGCCCCAAGTGCAGGCTGTCAAATGTAAATTGCTTTACATTTTGTTAACTAACTACGCGAATTTGTTTAATAGTTGGCGCGTTGTTATTGTTATTTGTTTTTTTTTTTTTTTTGTTATTTTGTTATTTATTATTTGTTATTTCGTTCTGTTTTCTGTGTTTGCCTTTTGCATATTTCCGTTAAATTTGATTGCTGTTATTGCGCTTGCTTTGGAGCAACAACAACAACAAAAACGAAATATTAATTAGTTTGTTTTTGTTTTTTTTTTTTCATTTAACTTCTTTCTCTATTTCTCTCGCTCTCTCTCTCTCTCTCTCTCTCTCTCTCTCTCTCTTTATTTCTTGGAATGAGAATTGCTTTTTTTCCGAGATTTTTACAAATTTTTAAGCAATGCACCGCCAATAACTAGCCCCCCCCCTCTCTCTCTCTCTCTCTCTCCCTCTCTCCCTCTCTCTCCCACACACACACACCAAGTACAGCCAACGCAAAATATACAGCTGTTGTTGTTGCTGTTGTTATTGTATTCACTGTACTCTTGTCTCGATTTATAAAACTTAGCAACAAATGCTAAATAATATGTAGTGTGTGAGAGCGAGATAGCAATAGACAGATAGAGATCTGCATTAATTGATAAATATATTCAAGCGCTGAGCTGTTTGTTGACCTTTTTCGCATTTCATGAATGGCCAACAGGTTTAGTTCGGCTGTGTGTGCTTCCTGTGCGTAACTGTAACTGTAACAATTAACTGTTGGCTCGCATTTTCGCACCAAAGGCCAAAGGCACGACTGACTGTCAGATACTCTGTAAAGAGACGCAAGTGCAGTTGATTACAAAATGTAAACAAAAAAGTGCCAAAACTATTTTTTAATTGTCTAGGGTATATGCATGGGGTATATGCAGGACACATTAGAAGAATATTTTTGGTTTTTTATCTCTTTTTTTTTCATTAAGCAATTTTGTTTAACAAAGAAATTAATTTTGTCTTCACTCTATATATATAAAAACTTTCTATTGTATAGGGTATTTGCATAGGGTATATGCAGACCAGCTAATCGCTATGCTCGCTGCAGGTATATAAATAATCTCAGCTATTCTCAGCAAATTAATGTCAGTTCAATCTTGAACAATACTACCCCACATGTAATGCGTACAGGGTATATGTGAGTGGCAATTTCACTGCAATAAAGTGAAATGCAATTGCAGTTCGCATTGAACAGTTACGCCAGCTGACCCCCATCGTCAGGTGAGGGCAAACCAAATACATACATATATAAATAAATATGCATATACACATATATACATGTACATACATATATACCTATATATTTGACTGTAATAAAGCTGAGCACACTAAGAAAGGTGCTAATTGGACTGTTGACTGTGGTGAGGCGGCTGCCCCAAAAGCCAACTCGATTGTCGCTGAATCACAAAGCAACACACAAAAAAAAAAAACAAAGCAAAAAACAAAAAACAACAACAACAACAACAAGATTTATAAAGAATATGCATTAACATAATATACTATGTGGTAAGCAGATATTAGGGTTTGACGGCTGCCTGACAAAAAGCTGACTGCTACACGACGTCGGCAAATTCCAATTGGAACTCAAATTGACTAATTCAATTGAGGTGACACACAAATCGTAAGCACACAACATACATATACACATACATAAATGTGTATGTAACTATCGTTAATCGAACTATCGACAGTTGCTTCAATGTCATTTCCGGTGCTAAAAATAACATAAACATGACGAACTCTTATCACTAGCATTGCGCAGCACCTTGAATATGTAACAGGCCTAACGATCAGCCATTCAAATGCATACATATGTAGCTATGCGTGTGTGTGTGTGTGTGTGTGTGTGTCTCTTAACGATCTAATGTAAAGTCAATTGTTTATACAACTTTTAGCTATAAATAGAAGCTGGCGCACTTACATGCGGAAGATAAATCGATAAAGGCGGCCGGTAATATATATGTAAATACTATATAGGTATACAAATACATAAGTATACAATTCAATATTCAAGTATGCTCAATACATAAAGCTGTGTTTTATGATAACTCTGACCCCAGCAACAAATCAATGAAAAATAGCAACGAGAATCACAGCACTTAAATTGAAACCGGCTTAAGGACAACTCGCACACACACACACACACACGCACACACATATGCACAAATCAATCGACTGCTCGATTTACGTGATGCCATCGAACTCAACAGAAAAAGAATAATAAAGAAGAAGAAGAAGAAACTAGATGAAGTCGACTCTAAGCATAGCAACGACAATTTCTATATATGTATGTGTATATATACACATACATGACTGAAACCGAAATTAAAAACCAAATCTAAATCCCAATCCGAATCCAAATCGAAATCGAAATTGTTGTCTATTCTACGCTTGGTTCTATTCTGTTTTGCTCGCATTCGAAATTCAAAGCAAGTTTTTTAAGTTAGTGTTATTTATGCAAATGAGGCAACCGAAAATAACACCAACAACAACAACAAATTCAAAGTCAATTTCGGGCGAAAAACAAATGGGAAGGTGTCGCCGCAGCAGATAAACAAACAGATACTCTGTAAAAAAAAACAATATGCGTGACTTGTGTGAAATGAGCGAACTGATTTATATTGAAATGCACAGCAAAACAAATTCATATATTTATTTAATTGATTTGATCTTAAGTGGCTATAAATGAAAGTTGCCCGTGTGTTTGTGCGTTGTTGATCATTTGCAATGTATTTCGAGTCGACTATGAATACCCTATAAATACACTATAGTAAAATCAGTAGACCTCTCTCTCTCTCTCTCTCTCACTCTCTCTATTAGTAATTTGAAAATTTCTTTTTCTTTATGAATTTCATGCTATTTGCACTGCTTGTTCAGTGCGCTGCTTGCAGCTCTGTGCTCTGTGCGGGCGCCCAATCAGCAAGCAGTGCATTTTGAAATGATTTCCAATTAGATTTCACAGCCAGCCACAGACAGCTTATTTGCTTTCTGTGTCAACTGTTTAGGCTGTTGCGTACACAGATGTGCAGCCTAGCTATATAAGTTTATATATTATATGTAATTTATATACAAACATACGTACATTCATATGTCCATAGGCGACTGACTGGCCAGGCAACGTTAAGGCCTTATACGTTTAGCTCAAAGCAACGGCAACAACAACGACTTGCACTTTTGCAAAAGTTGTTGTTGTTGTTGTTGTTGTTGCTGCTGCTGCTGCTGCTGCTGTTTGCCTTGCATTTGTCTGTTTTCTTCGCATTTGTTATTGTAGCTGCTGGCGCTGCTGCAGCAATTCGATTTTGTATTCGTTTTCATTTACACGTATTCGTTCCCGTATTGGTATTCGTATTCGTTTTTGATTTCCTACTGGGTCGTCGCTCGTCGCTCGTTGCTTGTCGTCGGCATCGTTTTTTGTTTGAGCTGTTGCTGTCATTTGGCACACATGCCTGCAATTTGTGCAGTTCATAGTCGCATTTCAAGCGCGCACGTACTTAGAAGCACCACAAAAGGCGGTGCGAAAAAGCCAACGCAGTCAGTCAGTCAGTCAATCAGTCAGTCAATCAGTCAGTCAGTCAATCAATCGAGAACAGCTGCTGTAGCTGCAATAAATGCGCGTGTAACTAATCTCAATGAAATTGTTGACAACAAATAACAACAAATACAATTGAAAATGAATCAATTCGAAATAATTAATTGAAATAATTTTGCTCATTTCCATTGCAGATGGTTTCACGGCAATCTTTCTGGCAAAGAAGCTGAAAAATTGATATTGGAGCGTGGCAAGAATGGTTCATTTCTTGTGCGTGAATCTCAAAGTAAACCTGGTGATTTCGTTTTATCCGTGCGCACAGACGACAAAGTGGCGCATGTCATGATTAGATGGCAGGTGAGTTGAGCCATGCACAAAAAGTTGATTCCCATTTGCTGCTGCTGCTGCTGCTAATAGTGTATGCAAATGCCAATCGATTTGTGTGATACGACAACAACTTGTAGAGAACAGCAGCTGCAGCAGCGGCAGCGGCAACGGCAGCGGCAGCAAGTCAAGTAATGCAAAATCGACCGACCGACTGACTGACTTGGCCATAAAGTTCCTCATCGTTTGACCTTGAATTACTTGTGTCTAACTGCATATATATATATATGCATATATATTTATCATATATGAATATATGTCGCCGGCCATGTGCTTGTTGTTGTTAATGTAAATGTGAATATAATGCTTACATATTTGACGTTGTGCGTTGCCCGTGGCGTATGCGTAATGTCCCCTTGCACTGCTTGACGCCATTGGACGGCTGTCAGGCCTGAGCACTGCTTGCACTACAGCAACAACTACAACAACAACAACCACAGCTCTGGGCAACTGCGCAAGGACTAACAATAACAAGTTCGAGTACAAAATGAATGCTAATGATTCATTCATGAACAATGAATAATGTATAACTCAAAACTAATGGCAATCTTTATACAATATCAGACTAATTTATTGAGCAACTTGTATGCTTGAGCTTAACGCATTTCCTATACAACAAATCAATTATAAATGAAAATTTGTATAATATACTAGAAATACTAGATACTACTATATGCCATAGATATTCACTTACACTCGACATTTCAACACTTAATTTATTTGCCAATCATTAGCTTTCTTGTCTTTATCCATTTACTCATCTTTCTTCTTTCGTTTTTCTAACACTATTATTTATTATTAACGTAAGCAAATATTGCAAATGTAATATTTGTACAGTTTTTTCTTCATTTCGCTCAAACATGACAATCCCAAATATATTTATTTTGTTCAATTCATTTGTTACACTACCTTAACTACTGTAAGTCCCCTCGCTGATGAGTTGCTGTTGCTGTTGTTGTTGTTGTTGTTGTTTGTGTTGCTATTGCCATTTGACGGCATTTAGAATAATGCGATTTACATGACCGGTTAAGCATTTACTTCAATATGACATTGCGGTCACGTTTACACTTTTATTGGCTAATTGTATAGCATTATTTCAACTCGACTTCAAACTTTTATTGCTACAGTTCAAGTTCCGAGCAGGGAGTGAGAGAAAGAGAGAGAGAGAGACAGTGATAGACTATACCCTTTTCCTAAGTAGCCAATAACAAAGGGCGTAAAGTGTAGTTAGCTGTCAAATGTGTTATGCAATATGAGTTAGCTGTAAGCATTTAAAATGAATTTCGTTGATATTGATGGGCTTTGACAGGAAGTTAACAGAACAAGCCCAAGCAGCACTGCTTGATAAGATTTAACAGGACAACAGCAACTTTAACAACTTTAACGAATGTTAATACAAGTAGCACTAGCAGCACAGTTTACACAGCTTTAACGGCCTGTTAACAGAGTGAATGTAAACAGAATGTGTTTAACTTAAATTGATTTTTGACTTTCATTAACATTATCTCTGACTTAACTTTTAACATAACATAATTTAAGCATTTAAGCAGCATCCCTTGTCACAGTTAACATTAGCTACTACAGCAGATTAACAGGAAATGAACTGAGAAGCGCTGCCTGTTACACTTAACATTAGCTCTGTCAGGAAGCTAAGGGAACGTGTCAAAAACTGATTCAAACTGTGTTGCCTTGGCTTAAACAGCAAGTCGAGGCAAACGTGCCCTACGAATATTTTAGCATTTCCCGTACGACAAATATTTATTTACAATATATGAGAATTGAAATAACATGAAGTAAAATGATAAAAAATCAAATCAAATTTGATATTAGTAAAAAGTTGGAATCAGCTTTGAGCTTATATACATATTTAGTGTGCACTGCTTGTAAGCAGTTCTCTCGACTACTTTCACTCACACAACGTCCAACCCTCGTTGCAGGATAAAAAATACGACGTGGGCGGCGGCGATTCATTCGATACACTCTCCGAGCTGATCGAGCACTACAAGCGACATCCGATGGTGGAGACGTGCGGCACGGTGGTCCACTTGCGGCAGCCGTTCAATGCGACGCGCATCACCGCAGCCGGCATCAATGCGCGCGTGGAGCAGCTGGTGAAGGTGAGTGATTGGATGATTGGATGTAACGGTCAATATAATAATGCCATCCATACGGCAGGGCGGCTTTTGGGAGGAGTTCGAGTCGCTGCAGCAGGACAGCCGGGACACATTCGAGCGCGTGGAGGGCTACAGGGATGCGAATCGTCTCAAGAATCGCTATCGCAACATCTTGCCCTGTAAGTGACTGCCTCTCTCTCTCTCATCTGTTTGCTCATCTCTGCTATCTCTCTCTCTGTCTTCTGTTAGATGACCATACGCGCGTCAAGCTGCAGGATGTGGAGAGCAATGCTGTGGGCGCCGAGTATATAAATGCCAATTACATACGTTTACCCACCGACGGCGATCTCTATAACATGAGCAGCTCCTCGGAGAGCCTCAACAACACGGTCGCCTCGTGCCCGGCCTGCACGGCGGCGCAGACGCAGCGCAACTGCCCCAATTGCCAGCAGCAGAACAAGACGTGCGTGCAGTGCGCGGTCAAGTCGGCCACGTTGCCCACCAATTGTGCCACCTGCAATCGCAAGTCCGATTCGCTCAGCAAGCACAAGCGCAGCGAATCTCTGTCGGCGTCGGCGAATGCCTCTGCCGCCGGCACGGGTCCCGGCACGCCCACCGCCGCGGGCAACACGTCCGCCTCGGCGGCGCTGAACGGCTGCCTGGCGGTGCTGCTGAAGAAGCACTGCGGCGACGCATCGCCGCCGCCATCGACGACATCGTCCTGCAGCGGCCCCTCGACCGGATCGCTGCAGAACGGCGAGGGCCAAATGTACAAGACGTACATTGCCACACAGGGCTGTCTGGCCAACACGAAGACGGACTTCTGGAACATGATCTGGCAGGAGAACACGCGCGTGATTGTGATGACCACCAAGGAGATCGAGCGCGGCAAGACCAAGTGCGAGCGCTACTGGCCGGACGAGGGCCAGACCAAGCAATTCGGCCATGCCCGGGTGCACTGCGTCAAGGAGAACTCCACCAATGACTACACGCTGCGCGAGTTTCTCTTCTCGTGGCGCGACAAGCCCGAGCGACGCATCTATCACTATCATTTCCAAGTGTGGCCCGATCACGGCGTCCCAGCCGATCCCGGCTGTGTGCTCAACTTCCTGCAGGACGTCAACACCAGGCAGAGCAGCCTGGCCCAGGCAGGCGAGAAGCCCGTAAGTACCAGGCAAATCCACTTGAGTGTTATCAGCTGCAATTAACTCTACATCTGCTCTCTCTCTCGCTCTCGCTCATTAGGGTCCCATTTGTGTGCACTGCTCGGCGGGCATTGGACGCACGGGCACGTTCATTGTGATCGACATGATTCTCGATCAGATAGTGCGCAATGGTAAGCATTCTTAACAGCTGTCGAAATGTTAAATAGCTTAACAGAGAGTGCCTAACATAGTTGCTCTAGCAACTGTTAACAGTTTGTAATGTAACAGAACCTGATTTCCCATTTTCAATTGGCTCAGAGTAGAACAACATAAAATGTTGGCTAATTTTTAACGTATGTTATTTAACAGAGTGCTTCTATGTTAGCAGAATGTGAGCAGAATGAAGCAGAGTCATAGACTGTTAACATTTATAGTAAAACTGCTCAGATTTTAGCATAAACATAAACTGTTAGCTGCACATAAGTATGTTAACATAATGTAAGCCCACAGCTAATAAGACTTAGACTTGGGCAATAGATACAGCAAGACTTAGTCCTAAAAATTTCACTCATGTAAACTATAAAATATCTCTCACAGGCTTGGACACCGAAATCGATATACAGCGCACAATTCAGATGGTGCGATCGCAGCGCTCGGGCATGGTCCAGACGGAGGCGCAATACAAGTTCGTCTACTATGCGGTGCAGCACTACATTCAGACGTTGATCGCGCGCAAGCGGGCCGAGGAGCAGAGCCTGCAGGTTGGACGCGAATACACCAACATCAAGTAGGTGTACTCCTCCTCCCCTCTCTCTCTCTCTCTCCCTCTCTCTCTTTCTCGTTTACTAATTGGATTTTTCGTATTACAGATACACCGGCGAAATCGGCAATGATTCACAAAGATCTCCATTACCAACAGCAATTTCTAATCTAAGTTTAGTAGCGGGTAAGGCAACAGTTGCGGAACCGTTGACTCCAGCCGGAGCAGCAGCAGCAGCAGCAGCAGGAGCAGCAGGAGGCGTCAGTGCTGGGAATAAGCATGCTGGCAAATTGCAGCCGCCATTGCCGCCGCTGGGCGCCAGCAGCAACAACAACAACGGCAACAGCAACAGCAACAGCAATGGCATCGCCAGCAATGGCATCGCCAGCAGCAGCAGCAACAGCAGCAGCAGCAACAGCAGCATCAGCAGCGGCAACGCCAATGCCAATGGCAACATTCTGGGCAATGGCAGCAATCAGCGCAAATCCAATTTCTATAGCGATTCGCCGGTGGCGCTTAAGCAGCACGAACAAGCAGCAGCAGCTGCAACAGCAACAGCAGCAACAGCAGCAGCAACAACAGCAGCAGCAGCAGCAACAACAGCAGCAGCAACAGCAACAGCAGCAGCTGCAGCTGCAGGTAAGCAGAAGCAGGCGCTGGGCCGGCCGCCCGGTGGTATACTCAAGTTGTTCACCAGTCCCATCATCTTTCAGCCAAATACAAAAACATTCCCAAAGACATGAACAGTCTGGCAGCGAGGCAGTCGCACGCCGTTGCCTATGCTGCTGCTGCGCCGGCGCTGCCGCCGCCACCGACGCCGCCGCGCAAAACATGACAAATGAATTTCTAAATAGACGCACTTTCATTTCTTTTGCCTCGTTTTTGTTTGTTTGTTTGTTTAATTTTTTTTTTTTTTTTTAAATACTTGTATGCAATTGCATTTGGCACCCACACACACACAGACACACAGAAACCGACACACACACAGACACGCAGGCACTTTCTTACCTTATTTTCTTCTTTAGCCAGAGTTTAATAGTTATTTTTTACATATACACACATATACATATACATATATCTAAAGAAATGAGAGAATAGTTTTTAATCTTATCCATGTTTGTCCGTTGTTGTGTGTTCTATTTTATTTGAAATGCGTATCTATATCTATACCCAATATATAT